TGTAAATGATATTTCAATAAAATGCATTTAAAAAAAAAGACTCCCAATCTCTCCAGATCCTTGCCAGCATTTATTTTCTGTCTTGTTGACCTTTGTTATTAATGCTGGGGTGAGATAGTATCTCATGGTTGTTTTGATTTGCAGCTCTCTGATGTAACTGCCTTTTTCTGATACTCTGTCTCTGTGGGAGACCAGGTTTGATTCCCAGCCAGTGCACCTCCTGGGCAGCCACCACCTGTCTGTCATTGGAGGCTTGTGTGTTGCTGTGATGCTCAACAAGTTTCAGTGATGTTTTCAGACTAAGATGAACTAGGGAAAAAGACCTGACGATCTCCCTCTGAAAATCAGACCCTATGGATCACAGTGGTCTGATCCACATTCAATCATGGGGATGACATGGGATCAAGCAGTGTTTTGTTCCCTTGTGCATAGGGTCACCATGGGTCCGAGACTGACTCGATGACAGCTAACGACAACAACATCTCTGCATAAGGTCTCCTTTACATGGTTCTGTTTGCCCAACTCAGATTGTGTGCCTTTCCCCCTGAATTGGTGCAAAGGAGCTGCTCATAAATCGCTTTGCCTTTTTTTTTTTTTTCAATCATAAGTCATCTCTGGGGTTAGCTGTGGTTGATTCCTGGAGACCTAAACCATCTCTACCCCCCTGGCAGTGGGGTGGGGGGAAGGTAGGGGGAGAGGTCAAATGCCTACTGAATACATCTGAATGGTTTAATTGTAATCATTTCCAGAAAAAGAAAAGATGAGGAGAGGAAAACCCAGGAAAAGAGGAGGAAGGCCAGGGTCAGGAGGAGAGTCTTGAAGGAAAGAGACAGACATCAGAGAAAGAAACACAAGGACAAAGCCAAAGCTGAGGTATCTCAGGAACCTGACTCTTCAGAGGAGTGGACGGAGAGGAAGTACCTTCTGGCTCAGAGGCGTGTTGAGGCCCTTCGGTTGCTACGCACACTCCTGAGGAAAATTGCAGTAAGGCTCTTTCCCAATTGTTCTTGTGTTTTGGTGGGTGCTAACCTTTCTGAGGAGTCCCTGGGTGGTGCAAATGGTAACACGCTCAGCTATTAACCTAAAGGTCGGAGGTGTGGGTCTAGCCAGAGGCACCTTGAAAGAAAGACCTGGCAGTCTACTTCTGCAGAGTCAGCCATTGAACACTCTGGTGCACAGTTCTACCCTGACACATGTGGGCTCACCAGGAGTCAGACTTCACTGGAAGGCAGCTGGGCGACTGTTCTGAGACACCGCTTTTATATCTAATCAGTAGCCTATTTAAAATCAGGGCCCTGGAAGACCCATTATATTCATGGGATTATTTTAAATAGGCTAATCTCTAATAACCTCAGTTGTGAAATTATAAAAGGGGTATTCAAATTCTCTAAAGGAGTTGTGTCTCACCCATGCCCTTTAGCACACACACTGTGTGTTTCTAAACTTCTGGATGTTGCTACCCAGAGCAGTTTAGCTAGTGTATCTACTTTTCTTGGTTTCTAATCAGTGTAACAGAAAATACCATGGGGCAGAAAGAGATGATGTGAGTGTTGGGTTTGTAATGTAACCTCACTTACATCCATCTGCAACAGGTTTGGATAAGAAGGAAGAGCCCCGAGTAGATACCTTTGTGTAGCAGCCCATGTTAGTCTAGTCATAAATTATTTGATAAGGAAATTTCTCACACTACAGAGCAATCGTATGGTTTGGAGAGTTTCATTTTTGAGATGTGTTTTTTCCACTGAGTGAGCTTCTCAAGTATTAATTTAAAAATCCATACTCACTGTCTTCAAATATGAAGAGTGAATGACATTACTAGCATACAGAGTTAATGGATATTAATTAGTATTATGTATAGTTAATGGATTGTATAGAGTTTATGGATATTTACGTATATTTGCAGCCTGGGCCTTTAGTGTAGAAAAGCATTCCTCACTAATCCCTCATTACTGTGGACAATCAAACTTAGTGAAATGAGGATCAGAAAAATCTCTCAATTATACAAGGCTAGCTGGATCTTTTATAGTTAACTTAATGACTGTCATGGGTGACTCCTTTTTAAGAATTTATCTTTTTAAATGTATGTGACGCCTAATTCTTGGCAACAGTAATACCTTATACCTCTTACACAATTTGCAGGTTCTAATTCCAGGTAATTTGTAAACACTGTGTCCTGATATGTGTCAGATGTCAGTGGCACACAGTGCAAAATGTCTCAGTAGAGGGAGGCCTTGGGCAGCACCTTTCACCTGCCCAGAAGTTGTGCAGAGCAGAGCGCCTCACACCTGTGGTGGCATCACTGCCATGGCCTTGTTTTCTACTTGCTGTCTTACTGACATAGGGGGAGGGAGAGAGGTGGAACTCAGATAGACTACTTGCAATCCATAGTGAGAGGCTGGAGTCGAAAACAGAAAGCATATATCTTTTAAGCCAGCTGACCCTTCTGGACAATTTCATCTGCTATAAAGACACATTTCACCCATCAGTCTTTTCTTGGATGAGAACTTTCTGGGAGGGTTAGAGATCATTTCTTATTCCTCTTCATATCCTCAGCCCCTAGCATGATATCTGGAACATTAGGGTCTCATAAATTTTTGAACAAATGAAAAAAGGGTCGTGAACTTTGAAAGATATGTAAAGCATGGTACCTTCTAGCAGAAGGAAGGGCACAGACACAGTAAGAGCAGTGCACATTAGATATTATACTAAGACATCTTATTTCGTGCCTCCCATTTCCTTAGCTCAATATTGTTCCTAATTAGGATCTATCTCGGGTGTTATTAGAAGTCTCTTCAGAACGGTGTCAGAGAGCCCAATTTTCTTTGAAAATGTTTTTATCTGTTTAGTATTTCATGTGAGGTTTTCAACTTTTTTCTTTAAAGGGATCCACACAATTTAACCCACAGGTGGTAGATATTGCAGGCCCTGAAGCAGAGCAAGATCATGCTCCAGAGAACACATTGGAAACTCTGGAGAATGAAGAGTTAAACACTCAGTATCTTCGAAATCAAGAGGAAATGCCAAAATATCAGGTTGCCAAGTCGGACAATAAACGAAAACAAAAAATGAAGAAAAGAACTAGGACTCACTTACGTAAATCTTCCCACCACCTTGGGAAGAAAAAGTTAAGGTATTCAGCTAGAAAAGAGAGAACCAGAAAACTATTAACTGATGGATATAATCATAGTTTAATCTCTGACCAGAAATCTTTGCAGATTACAACAATTCAAGGTCAATCTTTTGAGAAAGAAGATTGCCACAGTCCTAATGAATTCTGTTCTTCCAGATTACTTGAGAGAGACTGTGGTAGAAAACAGAAGATCTATGAAACAAATGAATTTGTCGACTATCTATTAAACTATTATCAAACCCCAAAATATGCCCGTATCTTCCTAGAACCAGGTGACATAACAAGCACATGTCAGTGGCAGAGAGCTGTCCATACCAAGGGGAATGAATTTCAGATCAAGTTGAGAAAACGGAGATATCGCTCAACCAGTTTGAGCCCAACACGAAACCGGGATCAGACAGAACATGCTCAAGAAGACGATCATTGGACAAAGATTTGTACTCAAGATCCTGACCATAAACCACAAGACAGAGAAAAAGTAGACTATGCCAAAGAATGTTCTAAGGGCTTTAAAAATCATCTCAAGGATACAGCCAGTGAGGCTGATGATCAACTTTCCCCAACTGATGGAGAGAGCCATCTTTTGAAAGAGACTCATGGTCACCAGATCAAAGACCCTAAACCCAGAAAGAATAGCCAAGTTTCTTCACCCTACAGGTCAGTAGGCTTAGCTTTGGAATTGAAAGATGTCTTAGAAGAAATTAGTAGTGACTCCGAATGCTTCAATGAAACCTTTAGCAGCATAAACAAAGAGGAGCAAGAAAATTCTGTGGCTACATATCATAGCTCCCCAGAAAAAGGACTCATTGTCCCCGATGAAATCATTACTTGTGATCAAGAAGCTAGGTCAGGTCAGCAGACCTTGTCTTCAAAATGTAAACAGAATGGGGAGAAAAAACACTCTAAATGCAAGCTTAGGAAACCAGGCAAGAGGTCTAAGTATGAACTGAGATGCTCATGGCTTGGTGATGAAGACAATTCCATTAGAAATGAGAGAAGCAACAGCAAAAGGAGGGGAAAGCCAGCCCCAAAATACTTGTTTGATGAAGGTTGCTATCATAAGTCCAATTCCATCGATCTATTAGAGGACATTACAAGAAAGAGGAGGAGGTTTATTGGTACCACATTTGACCACAAAGTGAATTACAGACCTTTTCATGTGCCAGTAACATCATCACAAAGTGCTAGTGCTTTTTATCTGAGAGATTTTTCTCCAAGAAGGGAGACTCCTTGGAAATCAAAATATAAACAGGATGAAAAAAGGTTTAAAAGACATGGAAATGCTGAAGATTTCATGCTGAATTCTGATAATTATTATATTAGACATAACAGTCAGGAAGACATTGACTATGGAAGCTATTTAGAAAACAACTACGCTAGTTCTTTATATTTTCAAATGTTTTGATGGTCACTTAGATCAGGAACACTGTTCTTCACAGTAAACAATTTGCAAGAAGAAAATTTAAAACCAGATATAGCTAGCTAGCAACTACAGAGCAAAAGAACAACATTTAAAAACTTGAGCAAGGTTAAATGCAATGCCTTGTCTCAAAATGATTGCAGTTGTGTTGGCAAGCTTTAGAAATACAGAACATCCAGATTCTGAAGCTTGGTAAGACACTGCTTGCAAAACATCTTGATCCAAGGACGGACATTTCTACAGTTCAACTGCAATTTTAATTTGGTGCCAGCAAAGGAGCAAATTATCACTAAAAGGGGTTGAGATAGCCCTCTGACTCCTTAGCTGTCGTAATGTCATCATTTAGTATCAAGAGCAAACAAGGATCTTTTTCTATGTCCTTTGATTTAGTCAGAGACAAAATGTGCGGCAACAAACTTTCCTGATTTTTATCTACAAATAATTATAGATAAGAGAGATGACAGCTAGGACATATACTAGACTTCTTCATGACATTAGAGTGTTTCAGAAGGAAATTATCTTATTAATATGTTCATAGTACTCAGAGTTGTCCTTTTGGAGATAAAGTCTTGGAAGAAGAATCTAAAAGAGGCTCAGATTGTCCTTTGAGGCTTAAACATACAGCAGATCATTAGCAGAATTGTTGTTTTGAAGAACCCCACGTCTGTCCATCCTAGAAAAGCAACAGGATTGAAGTGACTTAACCAGTGGGATTTGCAAAAGGAAATATTGAAAGATCCTGGGGCACCAATAATGGCACTTGGGAAGAGAGGGCATGATAGTATTCCATTTCAGGTTATGTAATTCTTTCACTCAGGGTTGGGTGACATCAGTTGGTAAAAAGTCACTGAATATCCCCAAGCTGACTTTTATAAAACAGTAACAAGTGCCTCCTTAATCCTCAATCATGTCATGGAGTTAGGAAGAGTCAAGGGGAAAGCTTATAGTTAGTTTTCTAGGTGGGGAAAAAAAAACATGTGTGCAGGATTTGTAAACTCTTAACATAAGCAATTTATCTTTCTACTTACTGGTTTTGGACTTCTTAAATATGTTTTTAAATGGAGATATTTTGTAGATTCTTAAAGACATCTTAGTGCAGTACATGTTCTATAGAAAGCTTGGCTGATTCATTCTGCCTTACACAGGATTTAGGACCTCAGGGGCAGTAGATGACCTTTTTTTTCCCCCAACAAAGGTATCTATCACCTAACCTAACAACTGAAGACACATCAGTGATATTAGAGATTGTCTGTAGCAGAAAAAAAAAAGGTGGTTTTAATCCACAGAAATAGCAGAAAGCACCATTTTTATATGACATTGTTCATTTCAAAAGTCTTAACTTGATATTCTGTAGAAAAGTACTAGCTGGTTGAGCCAGGTAGGATGCCAGCCAGTCTCACAACTAGTACTCACAACTAGCCTCCTGTGCAACCTGATATCTGATGGGGCTACAAAATCTCATTTATCTGAAGATCCCACATTGTTTCATTGATCTCTTCTAATCACATCTTAATAGAGATATGTTCGTACATGGAAAAGTTCAGAAATGAACGTAACATAGAAGATTGTGTTTATTATTAATAAGATAGTGACCAGTGAATGATTTGTTGGCTCTCTTGTGTTTGATTCTACTTTCAAGCCAGCAACTCTGCCATTGAAACTGGGTTTGGCTTGTCAGATCTGAAGAACAGCTCATGAGGCGAGTGCCTTTTCTCAAGACTAGCAATGGCTAATGTTCAAAGTACTGTTTCCCAGAGTAGCCTTTTAAACTAACAGCTTGTATTTGGTCAGACAACTTTTGGTAACTAGATATTTTTCTCCTCCAATGATAACCTGCCTCTATTCTTTTTCCCCATGTTTCATGCCTTTGAAACAAAGAGCATTATAGGTTTCTAACAGAAAGCAGCCATGCTTGCTTTGACAAAATAAATCTCGATTTCTTCTGTAATCTGATATTTTTTCTTTGCAGAGTTTATAGGCACGAAAACAATTTGCTGCTCAGTAACCAGACGTAAGAAAGAAATTGCAGGAAAAAATAAATTGCAGAGTACAGCATGTGCAGAATTTTTTTGTATAATAGAACTGGTGCTAAGTCACTTCCATATAATCTTTGTGTTTTGTTTGTTTGATAAATACTGTCCTGGGACTCAGAAGTAGGTAAAAATACTGGTTTTATGTTTACTTTCTGTACAACCTTGGGTTTTTATGTCTGTTTTGTGGTACCACATTCTAGATTTGAGTAAATCTCTTTTTGTGTAGGCCTTAAGTGAGGCAGAGAACAACTTATCCTGAACTTTTCAATTGACTGGCTCAATAAGGAATAGACTAGAACTGAAAATATTGTAACCACTTTCTATTAATTAACTTCTTTATTCTTTGTTTTGCTGTTACTTCAGTGGTGCAAAAGTAATTTCTCACTTTTTTTTCCTCTGTCCTGTTAGGCCTGAACTTTAAACTTTGCCTTTTAAAGTGTTCGGTTTTTTTTTTTTTTAATGCGCTGCTGGTAGTGTTTTAAGACAGCTAAAAACCTGTCAACATATTTTTGTTCAATTTCTCAGGTAGTAAGCCACATAACCTGATAATTTTGAAAATAAGAACCAAATACGTGTATTTTTATTTGTGAAAAAACTGTTGAAGATGTTAACTTTTAAATAAATGCTGATAAATTCCACTTTGGGGTGAAAGTTTCTACCTGCAGTATGCTGCTTTGCACTAATGTTGCCGATCCTCCTCATTTGCATTGGTAGAGAAACAATACATATTTAATTTTCAGATATATTAAAAATAAAGTTGTTATAGTGAATACTGGGTCTTTGCTCATTTACTAACTGGATTGACTAGAATGTTGCACACCCACACGAACATGTTTGGTGAAGATAGAGATGTCTAGTTTTAATATTACTTTTTGATGTAACATTTTTCTTTCTGATGCCCATTTGTGGAAACCAACTGCCAAGAGTTCATGGAACTAAAATTCTCAGTTTTCATTTTGAATAAATTTAAATCATGATACTTGGTTGACGCTTACCCTCCCTTCAGGAAATGCTTTATCAGAACTCTGTAAGAAGCAAGAAAATGGACTCAATTGGATTTTATCTCATCCCTTCAGCACCTGGAAAGAGCTCTGGTGGCATAGTGTCTAAGGCATTTGACTTCAAACCAAGTTGGCAGTTCACACCCATCAGCCATTCTGCAGAAGGAAGATGGGGCAATCTACTTCTGTAAAGATTTACCACCTCAGAAACCCAGCGGGGGTCACTATGAGTAGCAGTCGACTCAATGGCAATGGGTTTGGTTTGGTTTTGGTTTTAAGCACCTGCTGGGGGATAAGGAACTCTGGCAGCATAATGCCTCAGGCACTTGACTGCTAACCAGAAGGCTGGCTGTTCAAACCTACCAGCCACTCCTAGAAGGAAGATGGGGCAATCTACTTCCATAGTGATACTGCCTCGGAAACCCAAGGAGGGGTCGTTATGAGTCAGGTCTGACTCGACGGCACATTAACAACAACATATCCAAAATAAGAGGGCAGTGTGGGATAGGGAGCGTAATCCAAGAAGCTATGGGCCTCAGTAATCAGTCTCTGACCGTGGAAGAGTTAACTGTATTTTCACATGTAATGTACAGCAGACTGCCTCTAAGTATTCCATCACAAAGGCAGACTGTACCTGAAGAGTCAAAGATGGCTACTTTAGGGCTGAAAGAGTCCTTGTTGGGTTCAAAGAGCTCTTTCTGTAACAGCATGGAATGTATGGATGTTTGTTCAGGATCTATGATTTGCAGAAACTTGGGCCTCTGGGAGGTGAATGTCAAATTATGCGGAGTAGCCACAAATATGGAGATGGACTAAAACACATGTAGCTAAATGCTGCTTATGAACTACAGATGCTGATACTGAGAAGAAAATCTGCAGCTGGTTGGATGAAAGTAGGCGGGGAGTAAACAGATGTTACCCTGAACACCCCCGCCTACACAAGTGATTTTACTAGCACTCCCTCCTCTGCTCGAATGGGGCCTTTTACATAATATGGTTTAGGAATATGCTAGCTAGTTTTGAGATCAAAGTCTTGGCTTATAGTAATATCCCTTTACATGTAATCAATACAAAGTTGATTAGCTCTGAAAATAGGGGTAAAAGGCTTTGGGGACTGAAGCTGTATCCGGGCTCTGGATGTTTCCTCCTGGCAGCAGATGAGCTTGTTTAACTTTGTAACAGAAATACCCTAATCACATCTAAATGAGATTGCAGGCTGCAGCCCTGGCCCAGCTTTTTCTCCCACCCTCTCCCCAAAGCATAAGGCTTAACAGGTTGCCTGGCACAAAACAGGCACTCAGATATTTGTTGCCGGAAACACGGTGGGGAAGAAAGGCACATTTTTAAATATACGTGCAATATGGTTTGATGGCATGAAAAATGGAAAACTGTGAGCTTTCTGTGGTTCAGAGAGTACATCTCTTATAAGAAAACGCTGCCAATTTCAACAGTAAGATGACGAAACTAATATTCAGAGCAATAGGCTGCCTGTGTTTATACAACTGACTGCAGATGCAAATCTGATATCCATCTTTTGCTATGAGGCAAATTAACTGTGCTAATATATGGATTCTTGAATACTCTCCCGATCAGCCATTGAAATGAAACCAACCAACCACTTAGCACTTAGTAACAATGCCTTCAGTATAATTACTCCCTCAATAACCATGCTATAGACTTCCAGATGGCAGTTTGCCATTTATAGTTTAGGAAGTTTTGATTTAAGAAGGCAGAATTTGTCAAGTTACTTGATAAATCAATTAGTAGTTTCTGATATGACAAACTGGTACTTGGTTTGTGGTGTGAGGTTTCTGAATTTTTGCCCCTTTTGTCTCTTGGAATGAAACGAATCTATATTCAAAGAGTGAAAAGTCTATTAAGCTAATGTAAAAAGATGGAATCTGACTTCAGATTAAAGTGAAAAAAAAATTTAAATAACCCACCACACTATATTGGATAAAACCATTTTATTAACTGACCAAAGCACTTCATTTTGTTTTCTGATTTGAGGTAAAACCATTAAACACAGTCCACAAGAAAATACAAAGACTATTACTTGACCACAAGAGTTTGAAACCTCACTAGTTGTTCATATAATACTTTTGCAGATTCGTACAACCGTACAGTCTACTTAAGCTAAGTTTAGTGTTAACCAAAAAAAAAAAAAAAACCGCTATCAAAGACTTAAGACACTTGACTACTACTTTCCAGGGACTATAGTTTTATATCAACAGAAGACTGACTGTTACTCTTAGGAACATACTTTAAAAATCACTTGGCTAGTGCCGTGTACTGTTTCCTCATTCTTTAAGGGATATGTATGAAGGCTCTTAGGAGGGTACACGTCAGCTCCTCCTGTTCCGTAGGCCTCCCCCTCACTTCAAATTGTGTAAAATAACCATGGCAAGGCCATGAACATGGGAATGGGGAAGATAGTGCTATAATCTTCATACAGGTTTGTATGCAAGCCAGCTTATTTGTTTTCCATCGTAAGCTTTCCCTTTGTATGCTCAGATCCTGTTTTAACACAAAGCAGTCCAGAAACACAGTAGTTTTTTTTGTTTTGTTTTGTTTTTGCTGAGTCCAGCTTTGAGATTCCATTTGTTACTGGACAGCTCTCTTGAATCCATACCAAAATCTCTAGGACACTGCAGATTTGCTTTAGAGGTAGAGAAAACAGCAATCATGCAGTGAAGTCAATTGAAAAACAAGGTTCTTTAAAGAACATCACGATTAAAAGTTGGGCCTTTGTTCTTGATGTTTGATTAACATTTTCACCTGTTTTGGAAATAATCAAAATCTTACCTGTCTCTCAAAAAAAAAAAAAAATTAAATTCAGCCCATACTAACTATAGGTAGAGAGACTATGGCTATTTTTATTACAGCACTGCAATTCACTTTCTGGATTTGTGACACACAAACATACCATGCACATTCTAAGACAATTTCATTTTATCAGTGTCACTAGTGATGTTATAAATAATTTAAAAATTTACAGCAAGTTCAAAACTTTTCTAAATATCGAAATCACAATGCTTTTAAGGACAGAATGGAATGTTACAAATGATTTTGCAAAATACAAAAATAGATATGCTTCCACTGAATGCTTTAATCATTCTTCCGATCATTCTCATCTTTTGGTTCTTCTTCATCTGAGTACACAGTGGGCTCCTCCCCGTCCCTCAGCAGTTTGCCCACGTGATGATACTTGACTGGAGGTAGAGGGGAAAAAAAAAAAAAAAAAAACCCACAAATGCTCATTCTCATGCTTTACAGAAAATTACTTCTAAAAGCAATTTCATTCTAAAGCATTTATTGGAGGCCTACAATCTACTTAGCAATGTGTGGGGATTTTTGAGGGATTCAAAGGTGTTTGGTAACACAGCTCCTGCTGCAGGGAATTAGTTTTGTTCAGAAGGCAGAAATATAAAACAGGTAGTAATGTAGACAGGCTATGTTAAAACGAACTCCGTGTGTGTGTGTGTGTGTGTGTGTGTGTGTGTGTGTGTGTGTGTAGGAACGTTTACAAGAGCAAGGGTTCATTCTGAGTTAGTAAGAACTGCAGGTCATTCCATGGAAGAAAGACCAGCCCTGAGGCTGAGATTTGCATAGCAGTTGGGGAGGGAGAGATTTGTAAGAGATGAAAACACCATGGATGAAGGAACACAGGTGAGGATGAACCTATTCAGGGAGCAATACGGGGGCCAAGTTGACAGGGATAGAGTTGGCATCTGGGAGTGGTAGGAGATAAAGTGGACTAAGTCATATGAGGAAATGGGAGGTATCAGACAAGAGAGCCAGAGGAGTTTGGATTTATTATCACGTAACTGTGAAAGGGCACTGACCAAATGAATGTCATAGTACAACAGGGCTTCAGCAACAAGGGTACCGCTGTGGTGTAAAGGGCAAATTACAATAACAAGAGACAAGGAGCAGGGCAACCAGGAGGCTAGTGTGTGGGTCCAGATGTGAAAGGACGAAAGCCAAGAGGAGGCTGGTGCCCATGACCATGGAAAGGGGAAGATACAGGATCAGAGAACTGGCAACATGACTTAATGAGGTGCTTAGAAAACTGGACAGCCCAGACAGAAATGGGGACTCCATAAAGACATCTACGACAAGGACTGGAGAAGTGAAGTTAATGTTGGCAAGAAACAGGTCCCTGGAAACCCTTGAGAACAAAATACAGTGGAATTGTGTGGATAGAAGCCATATTGTAAGGAGTGGGAGGGAAGGTGAAGAGAGGAAATAGAGCAGTGATTAGGGACAAATTACTAAAGTTTTGTTCGCTAGTGAAAGGAAGGAATGATAATAGTGCAGTGGATAGAGAGGATAGCAAGAGGCAGAATGTAATGTTCTTCCCAACAGGGACAATACCTATGCATACTTAGAGGAACCAGGGGAGAACTGGAGATGTTGGGGAAGACAGATTTAAGTGCAGAAACCTGGTGTTGTTTTAAGACTTGGAATGGATGGAGTTAGCGAGTACCACAGTATTGCAGTCAAGCTAACATAGGGTTAATCATATCAATGCCAGAGGCCAAGAGGACTGAACCTCCTCTTTGTGAATATCATTAGGAATTAGAGGAGTAACCAACCCGTCTAACCAGGTAACCAGAGCTGCTTTTGTGTGAAATAATCATCAGAACAACTGGAACTTCCCTATTTGCACATATTATAAGGTCCCAAAGGGACTGTGCAAGACAAGAGAAAAAGCCGAGTGGCGCCTGGGAAACCTGCCTTTAGGGGAATCCACCCTGGCTTTGAGTGTAGCAGAGGTGTCATGACAGTATTTGGGACTAGTAAGAAAAAAACACTTTTTCTCACATTAATGAAGGCAAGCCCTAGAAAATAGAGCTTTGTAAATTATACGTTACAACGTCGGTTTCACATAAAAGAATCCATTGTTACAAAGGCATCCTTAGGAGGCAAAAAATGAGGGACTTCTGTTAGGGAGCTGAATTATGTTTTCAAAGTACAAAGACTTGCCTCTAGATTGGCAAGTTATACTTAGCTTGAGAGCCATATTCTAAAGGGAGAGGCACCTCTGGCTAATTATTAACCCAGAACTCTCTGAAGTTGGCATTATTTTAAGAGAAAATGGTTCGATTTAGCCTAAATAGCTGCTAATATTTAACTCATCATAGAAAATAGAAAACTCCATTTCAAATGAAAGCCTTAAATGAAATGGTCATTGTCTTTGGACTATGTTTCATAAAAGCTGGGAAAGATTATTATTCAAATCCTTGGCAGCAAAATACTGTTCAAGCAATAATTATACACCTAGGATTGACAGAAACTAATTTTCTGAATTCTCCAAAGTTGAATTTAATGCTTCATCCTTACATCCCCCCAGAGACCTCACCCCACAGCACTAAGCCACGAAAACAAGTGTCTCCTTTTTCTTTCTTCTTTTTTTTTTAAATGCACACACCATTGTTGCTGGGCAGATTTTAAGGATCATCTGTGGATGAGGCCTAGAGTTAGCTTCAATTAGATGCAAAGAGAAGCTATTTTGTAGAATACAAGTCTCCCATTCTTCCATAGACATGTGGGCTGCTTTGAAATGGCAAGTTCTCCAAGAAAGGACTTAGGAAAATCCCTCTTTCTGTAGTCAAGATGGCCACTGTCCTTTACCTTATACCCCAAGCCTCAAGTACTAGTGTGGCCTCTACAAAGCCAGAAGATTTTCACAAACAAACAAACAAAAACACAGAAACCCAAGTTTCCATAGAGAATTAGCTTAAAATTGGTATGCAATCATAACAAGTGACTCAGCACTGTTGCAATTACTTCAAGCCATGAACTTGATCAGTCCAAGACTCAGGAGCCTATCAGATGTTCCCAAGTTTCAGGCTGCTTAGCAATAACTATTGTACTGCCCTGAATCCCCATTACTGGTAGAAATTTGATCCTGGCACAATTGAAAAAACACTTACAAGTGAACTGAGAGTCCCAGTCACTCAGGGTCTCCTGCTGGGCAGCAGTGAGGTCAGACAGATCATCATACTCATCCTTCAGGGCTTCCTTATCCAGACAAAATGTGGCAAGGCCCCTGGATGCATCTCTTCCGGCAAAGACCCCATATGGCCCATCTTTGAAAACAAAATGAAACAAAAACAAACACCGATTGTTTATTAGTGAATTTCCCTGTGGTTCCTATGTAGAAAACGGCTTCCTTACCCACCAACCCAGAAAGTCCTCTTTTTGATGATCAGATTCTGTTCAGAAACCGTAAGTGATACTGAAACTTTAGTCAGTATGTCACAGACATTGAAAGACCTGTTGTTATTTACCTTTTCATTAACTAAAAGGAAACCAAAGTGCTGTAGATTTTCATCAATCTTCTGTGATTTTCAAATACAGGCAGTATCTGGATTCCATCCCCCGTACAATCTGTAGTTACTAACCAAGAGCCCCCCACCCACTTACCCACCCACCCACAAGCTTATTATATTTAAAATTTGAGGTGCATACAATGGTTCCTAGTAACAAATGGATGCTACTTTGCGAGCACATCAAAACATTAGTAGTAAAGATGTTTTGGTGTGTCTGGAAGTGTTTCTTTAATTTTTTTATGCATAGAAAAGTACACGATATACTAAGACAAACATTTAACTAACTGACGCCAGACACTAACTGTACCTAACTTCCCACTTACTTACAAATTGGACTTAAAGACAGACTTAGGAACAGAACTTGTTTATAGTTCGGGGACTGCATGTAGCTAGTAAAAGGTGAAAAATGATTGTTCCCTGGGGGTGGGGAGTAGGGAATGCTCTGCCAAGATAACAACGAGTCTCTGGGTCAGAATTTGACTCAAGACATTGAACCTAAGCACTGGAGCTACACTAGCGAGAGTTAGGGTCTCTTGTTTAAAAAAGCACTAATGAGTAAATGAAGATATTTCTTCATAAATGTACTGATTTTTTACACAGTGAGTCAAAGGTATCTTAAAGAGATCAGAGGTTGCAAAACTCAATTAAACATTAACATGTGCGGGAGAAATCACTTTATAAGATTATCAGTGGTTCAGAAATCTCTCTGCATGTTACATAATCTTCACTGTCGACAGATAAGAGGGTGCACAGGAGATCAGCAACTTCACTTGGGTTTTTAGGTGGGTTTGAAGAGAAGAGTGAGAAAATACTAAAACTTTCATGGAAAAAAAAAGCCAAATCAATACCCTAAAATAATTCAATAAAATATTATAACTATACGGATGACATTGTATTGAATGGTTATCTAAGAAAGCAGTAAATCACTCCATAGGTATTCAAAGTGGATGTTTAACCCATTGCCATGGAGTCGATTCTGACTCACAGGGGCCCTATAGGACAGAGTAACTGTCCCACAGGGTTTCCAAGACTGTAAGTCTTTAAGGAAACAGACTGCCACATCCTTCTCCTGTGGAGCGGCTGGTGGGTTTGAATCACTGTCCTTTCCGTTAGCAGCTGAGCACTTAACCAGTGTGCCACCAGGGCTCCTTTTGAAAAGGGGATATTCAGACTTATTTAAATATTGCACTAGAAAGTGAAAAGTACCCAGAGTGCTTTAAATGATGTATTCTTTCCCAAAAAATACACTGAATAGCAACCCTGAAATTAAAAACTTCATGGGCAATCAGTATACTTTGTGTGAAAATGGATCAAAGTTTCAATATGACCTAGTCACCTGAGACCTCAACCCACCAGGAATGTTTTCATAATTAGATGACTTTTATGACCAACATTAAAATTCCAAAGAAAAATAGTTCTTTTTAATCATCTAGTGCTACTGTTTCCACTATAGAAGATTAAAAAAAACTTTCACAAGTTTTCCACAAACACACCTCCATGGAAAATGATAGCACCTAGTGCTTGAAAATGGGCAAACTGTACTGGTTTCAATCTTATCATTTCAGAAATTATGGTCACCATATGGTTAAACCTTACAAATACTTAAAGCACTAAGTCTTTAGAGAGCACATGCATCCACCACAATGTATATTCACTAGAATTAAGTTTCATGAGCAGTGTCTGCTTTGTTCATTGTTATAGTCCCAGCACCTACAACAGGGCTTGGCATAAAGTGGTAGGCACTTTAATGAGTAATTTTTAAGACTCTTTTATAACATGAAAGGTACTCTGGTAGCACAGTGCCTAAGGCATCTGACTGCTAACCTGAAAGTTGGTGGTTCAAACCCACCTGCCACTCTGTGGAAGCAACACTGGGCAATCTACTTCCGTAAAGATTTACGGCCTTGGGAACCCAATGGGGGTCGCTATGAGTCAGAATTAACTCGATGGCAGTGGGTTTGATTTGGTTTTGGTTTTATAACATGAATGGAGCTCTGATGGTGTAGTAGTTAAAGCATTCAACTACTCACCAAAAAGTTGGCAGTTCAAACTCACCAGTTATTCCACTGGAGAAAGATGGGGCAATCTGCTTCTGTAAATATTTACAGCCTTGAAAACCCTGTGGGGCACTTACACTTCCTATAGAGTTACTTCAAGTTGGAATTGACTCAATGGCAATGGGTTTAATAACATGAAGCATCATTTTCATGTTGTCATATATCCACAGGCTCACTAGATGACAGTGCAGGATGGAGACTTAGAGGACCCACAGAGCTCTCCCTATCATTTTTCAAAGGGAAAACTAAGGCCCAGAAAAAGACAATGCTTTGTACGAGGTCACAGAGCTGGTCAGCTTGTCCAACCAGGACTAGAACCAGGCTTTGCACTGGTTCATTAAGGTTTGACCCACTGCAGAGAATTTGCATTTCCATCTCAGACCTATGGAATCAGAATGTACATTTTAAGAAGATCCCTGGGGACCTTGGTTAACTGTAGCTTCGGACTCATTATTTCTAGGGTGGAAAGGCACATTCGCAGCAGAGGGTCAAACCAGAATGAACCGATTCCTAGCCTTGATTAGATTCCAAGGTTGCCTGACTCCCAGTCTTGTGCTCTGTGCATTCCTCTCAATGACTCTGCAAACCTCAGTCAGTGGTAGCATCCCATGCACAAGTTTTGACTACTTTCTAGTGTTGCTCAATAATAATAATAACCTAGCTGGCTATAGATAATGCCTCTGGTACACCACTGAAGATGACAATTAATTTAGGTGTGGCTTTTAGGTTATTTTGACAGTTACAAGTCTTCAGGACATAGGTATTTGAACTTGTCCACAGGGAAAACAACTAAGCAGGAAGTGTCCAAAGAACTTTAACACATTTGATTGTAATTAGCTGGATTGGGGAGTAAGGGGGCAGGAAGAGATATGATGGGATTCTCCTCCCTATTTCCAGGCCAGTGGGGAAGGAAAGCGCTATCAGTGTGGACATTTCCCCTGAGTTCCTGTTTTCAGGGGCATCTGTATGGGAGGGGCTGATATCTCCTCCTCCTCTCTAAATGGTCTATAAATCAGGACTTTCCAAATCTGGCTGCTTCTCAAATTCGCCTGGGAGAGCTTGTGAAAATGCAGATTCGTGGACATCACCCACAGAGACTCTTCTTCAGCGGTGAGAGTGGTTAGGCCAGGGAATCTGTATTTTAAGTATATCATGTGAGTAAGATGCACAACCAAGTTTGGAAAAATCTCCCCTCTAAGGAACCCTTCAAGCCTGCTCCCTCCAACAGTCCAGCAATCATCCATCCTCCATTTTCCATCTGGTAGGCTTTTCCTGAAATCCCCCCACCCAGCAGCCCTCCTTGCCCAATCCCTTTTTGTTTCTAAGGATCCTCCCACTTCTCCCTCCGTCCATTTTTTTTTTAATTTAAATTTTTTGGCTTCTAGTCTTTTCTCTCCTGCTTCAGACTAAATACTGTATTGCCTTACCATCTTGCCACATAAGGGCTGTCCACCATATCCAGCCTTTAGTCTTCCCTCAACAGCTCACTTCCCCCAATGGATTCGCCCTTGTCCACTCTCACCTTTTCGTCCCCCACACACAGCGCGCGCATGCACACATACACACACACATATTCCAAACACATGCTACACACACCTGACACATGCCACACTGTGCATGCGCATGCACACATACACCTGATAAACTACATACACTCAACACACGCACACATCACTCACCACCATGCACAACGCTACCTGCTGTTAATGCCATCTCCTCTTTGATTCTTCCACATTCATTGCACCATGGCTACTCCTGGCGTCATTGGCCTTCGTGTAGTCTCTGAGCCTCGACTTCCCAAAGAGTCGTGGTCCCACCCACCCCAGGTTTAAGCATTTTGGCTTTCTTCCTCAGTCCCCAATCTTAGCCCTGGCAATACAGTCCAGGGATCTAGGGCTCCCGCCCCCCGCAGGCCTCTGGGTCACGACCGCCCAGCTATGGGAATGCCCGCCCTCCACCCCCAGACCCTCAGGGTCACCCTGCTCCTCCCGCGCCTCCCCTGAGTCCAGCCTCGTGCTGGGACCCCTTTCTTTTGTCTCCGCGCCCCTGGCGCCAGCCGCCGTACCCGGCCCGTAGAACTTGCGGCCTTTAGTCACGTCGAACACCTTGCCGTTAATAGCCATGAGTATGCGTGGGTCCTGGACGCCGTCGAAGCGCCGCAGCTCGGCAGGGGTGAAGTCGCGCCGCTTGAGGCGGGGCAGCGGAGGCGGCTCGTCATCGTCGCTGTCGCCGCTGGTCGCCGGCTGGTCCCCGCGCACGATCTTGTAGAGCAGGAAGATACAGAGGCCGAGCAGCAGCAGGTTGAGAGGCGAGGTGAAGATCTCGTGCAGCAACCCGCCGCCCTCCAGCTCGCCCGGGTCGGCGCCGGTCGCCGCCACATCCTCGGCAGCCATGATCTCTAGAGCAAAGGTTGGGCCGGGCTTAGGCAGGGCTCCGGAACTCGCTGCTTCCTCCTCCCTCTCAGCCAGCGAGTGGCTGCTGGAGCTCGGGCGCAGGATGTCGAGTGGGCGGAGAAGGTGGAGCTAGCGGGGTGGAGCCTCCAGGCCCCGCCCCTCGGCCGCCGCCCGCCCCGCAAAGCCCAGCTCAGCCCCCCACGTTGCTCTGGCTCTGGCCTGCCCCTGCTCCCTGCCCCCAGCCCAGCCTGAGGCTCCCTCTCCGGCTGCGGAGCACAGCCCGCCCCTCCCTTCTACCTGAAGCTCCCAGCGCCAGCCTCGCGTCATCCCCACTCCAGCCGCCAGCTAGGCCCCCCCTGTCACCCCCATTGCTCCTTGTTGACCTAGCAGCTCAGGCTTGGCAGCACGCAGAGGCCCCCTCCCCCACTTGCTGAGAGCCAGACACCGACTCCTTGTCTCCTTTTTCAGACTGTGTCCCCCCTTCAAGCCCCTCATCTTCCTTCCCCCGGCCACCTGGGTACCTCGAGGCCCTGTTAGGAGAGTGCAAACTCATTCTTTGAGCTCCTTTTGTCCACCTTAAGAGCCTCCTTTCCCCCTTGAGGCCCTCCATTCGCTCTGCTAGACGACAGTCCCCAAATCCTACGCAAACATACACACACCCCCACACCCGCAGATTCTGTGGGGCGGACACCAATGTGACAGCTCAAAGTGCCCAAGCTCGTCAAACAACTCTCCCAATATCTGGAGGAAAGGAACGCCGATTTAATTTGGGCTTAGTTTTGAACAAACTAAATCCCTTTGCAGTCTCTTGTTTGCTCAGTCACAGGCATCAGAAAGCAAACGTTCTCTCATTGTGCCTTTTTTTTTTTTTTTTTTAAGCCCAGAATAATGGCCAAAGTTTCTTTGTTTGGTAACATTCTTCTATTTGAAGTCTGTCGATCTACCCTTGGCAGTCACAATAATCCTGAGCTGGAGCCCAGATGCAAGCGGGAGTTTGGAGGTATCCTAGGTTTGGTCCCCTTTCTTCCCTAGGTATTTCATCCGCCCTTTGATGTGCGAGCAGCCGGCTCTGAAGTAGGCCTCCGTGGAGGAAGGATTGTCTCTACCCTCTGGAGTCCTAATCTGACCGCGCGCTTTATTGTGGAAGGGGGAGGGGAGCGGAAGAAAGGATAACGACAGGGGGAAAATAATTAAAACCAAGCCATGCACACATCTGCTGCCCAGAACAGTACTTTTCCATCAAGGATTCCGTTCATTTGCACAGAATTTACTTCCCCCTCCCAACACGCAGGAGACTTGAAGAGAGAGAACTGGCTTTAAACCTCAGAATTCTCAAACCTGACTTAGCCAAACATTTCTGGCACCAACTCTTCCTCCCTCCAACCCCTCCCCATCTTCTTAAATAATTTTAAAGTGCATATGAGCCAAACAATGTGTAAATCAGGCCCACACATTTTTCTCACAGAGCTAAATTTGTGATTAGCTGAAATGGCCAAACCTCTTTAATTTAATAATGGGGAAACTAGGGCTCAAACTTGTATTTAAAATGTAGCTTTTTTTAAAAAAAAAAATGTATATGGTCATATGTGGTGTAGTAAATGGCCCTTCTAGCCATAGTATCTTAATACTCTCACCAAAAGACTGGGTGGATCTATGCAAATAAGTTGCTTGCAGACCACCAAGGGGGCTGGATACCTTGCTAATAATACAAATAAAGTGCATGGCAAACTTATGTGGGTGAGACCATGTAAATAAGGTGTATGGAACACTAATGAGGGGATTGGTCAGTTTTCCCATTCCCCTAGGCTTAAAAGAGAGTCAATTCCAAAGCAGGGGCCACGAGGAAGCTGACTACCACTAAGGAAGAACAGGCTGGAGGGGAGAGCATGCTTTGGACCCAGGATCCCAGCACTGAGGATCTCCTAGATCCAGGAGACAGAGAGAGAGAGTTGTAACACTGGATATGAGAGATGGGGAGAAGCAGCCAAAAAATAACCAAACTCACTGGCGTGGAGTCAAATCCAACTCATAGCGACCCCTCCTTGGGTTTCCGAGGCAGTATCACTACGGAAGTAGATGGCCCAATCTTCCTTCAGAGGAGTGGCTGGTGGGTTTCAACCATCTGTCTTCTGGTTAGCAGTCAAATGCCATAGGCAGCAGCAGAGAAGAAGCGGCCGCAGAACCAAGAGACCTGTAGGAGGCTGGCAGGAGAAGGCATGGTGGGCATCCCAGCCCACAGAGCTAGAAAGCTGAGTGCTGCTAGGCAGTGGCTTGCTGGCACAGGAGGCGGCCTCCAGGCACTTGGTGGAGCTGAGTTTGCCAACCCACAGAGCGCCTCTGGCCTGAGGCTTATTGGCAGACTGGGGTGCCTCTGGGCACTTAGCAGAGCTAAAAGAGCTGTGTAACACTTGCCCATACAGGGGAAAGGCACAGAGCGAGACCTGCCTGCGGGCACAGCCGAAAGAAGCTGTCCTGATCGAAGAACTGTATCCTGAGTTGATTCTGCTTCTGAATTATAGCCTGTGCCTAAGGCACTTGACTGCTAACCAGAAGGTTGATGGTTCAAACTACTTCTGTATTGATTGTTGTTGTTATGTGCCGTCGAGTCAGCCCCGACTCATAGCGACCCCTCCTTGGGTTTCCGAGGCAGTATCACTACGGAAGTAGGATTGC